GAGAATTTTATTTAAAAAAGTTGTATGGAATTGAAGCAGGTATGTGATATAAATGTTTGACCCTGAGATAACGCCGAGTCTTTTTAAAATGATTTTCCTGTATTAACCTGTATTCTTTATTGCATATTCTTGTAAACGATATGAAAACGTATTTGAAACACTAGCTACACTTATATATTTGATAATGTATACCACGAAGATGCATTACTTGATTTTATATGCGATCGTGGATCGATTTTGATCATATGTGTATGTATTTCAAATTTATGCAATACATAAATCATGGAATGATATAAAATCATCATTCAACGTATCGTCCAATGCCAAGAATACAAATACAAATTTCGTAGTCGAAGTTGAAATTCATTCTTGCTGTCTTATTTGACCTTTCTCCAGATTAGATAAGTAATTATTCTTTGACGTATCTAATTATTCTTTGACATATCTAAGAATGCGACCAATTACTATTCGATAAGGATGATTATTGCAACAACCTTTTCATTGTGCACACTGACTAACGCTAAAATAAGCGCAAAAATTGTTAGAGCTGATGACACATTAAATATTTATGAAAAATGGAAAAGCGTGATGAATAAAACCTCCAATGTTATTTCAAGATCAAAAAATTATCTACTTAACATGTGCCGTCATTGACTAACTTGCATAGACTGGACACAATGCTTTTTCGTGTCCCAGATTTTGGGGTGTCACCTGACTCCCTTACCATTTCCATGTCACAGTTAGTCTTATCGACTTAGGCAAGTATTATTCTACAGCACTATTGGTGATAGAAATTAAAATCAAAAAACGTGGACAGCGTTGTCGTTCCTCATCGAAAATTATTTATTGAATTGTATCATTCAGTGACACTGAATCCAGACACAAGCAAACATACAAATATATATACATACAATAATCATAATAAATAAATGCAGATTTAGTAATAAGATGTTATTTAAAAAGCCCATAAAATCATTGTTTTTTTAATAGTTTTCGTTGATTTTCTTTTCTACGATAGAAT